TGACCCTATAGGCGCATTCGATATAGCAGTATAATCCGAAATCTCTATTTCGGATATACAAGTCATAGGCGGTCTCTAGCAAGACATTATGACTACCTATCCCGAATAGAGTTTGTTCGTGATCTTACGAACGTCAGTGATGATTCCGGCTGATGATCCTTTTGTATCGCGATATCATATGTCGAACATAAGCCATGGACAAGCCACCTTATCTAATTCGATTGCTTTCTCGTTCACCGAGTTCGACTGTCTGAAATAGACGACGTTCGTCTATAGTACGGTCACACATTTCTACAGTCTCGCTCACACGAGGGGCCCAGCGATATCTCTCTCTTTTACGAGAGGTACAAATCTCGTCTTGACTATCTACAATCCAACACATGATTCGTTTTGTACCTGATACACATCTTTATAGTCCTCCTATTACGCATGACGTTTGACGTATTCAAAGCACGCAACTCCTCATGTCGGATTCTGTAGATATCTCAGGTCTTAGGATCCAATTATGGAACCGCCATATGAGATTCAAGTCATGACCCTAGTCCATGTGACAATCTCATGCGGGTCAATCCAGTATTCCGTTCTCCAACGAATACCTATGATCGTGATCGTATCCAATACCTATGATCATCTATATGATCATCAATCACACATCATACTAGTCTTAGTATATCATTATTCCCACAATGATACATGACTAGGGAGTTTAGTATTGTTCATAACAATACATGGATTTCATAACATATCAAGTATGCACGATACGTAATGAATCAAACACTCATCCATAAATCATAGAAAGTGTCAATACATCAAATGTATCCAAGTAAAGCTCGTAAACAGTACATCATAGAGCACTAAACCAACAATTTCAGTATTCGTTTTGAGTTCGGTTCGAGAACATTCGGTTCGCTTCTGTCGGTTTTATAAAAATATGTATAAATCAATTATTATTTTATATTCGATTTTGATTTCGGTTTGGTTTTGGTTTTTGTTAAGAAAATTTTAGATCCTTAAAAAAATTAGTTTGTTGGGTTTTTAATTCAGTTATGTGCGGTTTCGAAAAATTCGGTTTACTAAAAAAATTATCGTTCTAGAACTTTACACGATTCGGGTTCGAAAACGGCATCACATTTTTTGGCTTGGTTCGTTTTGGTTCCGAAGAATCGTACCGAACTGAAAAATGCGGTATTTTTTTCGATTAGAAATTTCCGAATAATATTATTTTTAAAAAACCGAATTTTTCAAAATCGAATCGAAGTTTAAACACCTCGAAAAACCAAATATTTTTGTAAAAAGATTTATTTTTTTTAATAAAAACCGAAACTGAAATCGAAAAGAATATAATATAGTAATCGATGAACACATATTTTTATAAAATCGAAAATATCAAACCCGAACCGAGTACCCAAGTTGTGACTCCTTGTCACCATATCTGGGTTGATAGACGTTTCAATAGATAGTGTAACTAGGCCCATATCCATATATTTGGCATATATTGTAAAGTTTTTTGGAGCCTCATTGAACATACATAATTGGCTTTTATTTTTACATTCGCGCGTTATCCTCTTTTTTATTATAAAGGCGTTATCCAAGAGGTACTATAAAGAAGCGGCCATGGATCGGGAAGTCTTGACCAATTTGAATTATTGAGATGGACCTTTTCCACATAAAAAATCAATTCTGTGCTTCAATATAATTATCACAGGAGTAAGCGTTATACCACTAAAAGGTAGACCCTTAATATCTTCCGTTTCGTACAAGTAGCTTCCGAGGTATCTGCAAAAAACATGTTTCTTTCACCACCGCACGAAGAAAATATCTTTCACACCCTCTTTTTTATATTTTATTGTCATACTATTATTACAATGTGGTCCAAAGCTCACGGTTGTCTTGAATTGGTAGACATCAGACAAGATTGATTACCAAATACGTACACGGTTTTGGCTGTCACACACTTTCTGTCCCCAACCATCTCCCATTCGTGTTTCTCTTATAGATGATTGTGTAGTAAGACCCACCACCGGTAATTCCAACTCCCTTGTTTCCAAATCTCAATTGTTACCTTTCGATCTTTTTCAAATTCCACACGCGTAGCCATCAATCACAACTTAAATAATTGGATAAAGTAGCATGCATGCACGCACGCACGCACACGTCATTAAATTGCTGATGCAATAGCCAGTAGCATTTGGGTCCCCCGTTATCACAACAAACTTCAATTATTTCCTAACCAAAGAAAGGACGAGAGTGACTGTCGTCTTGTGAAGACAGTCGGAATGCATCGAGACATGGCGTGCGTACTTTGCGAACAGTGGGTCGACAATGTCTTGTCCGAAATGAGCGACCAGCATCGGTTCGCTCACTGCTCTTATGCAGCTCGCCTCTCTCTCTCCGCTCCTGCATCTCCCTAGCGTATGATCATCCGTGCTTTCCCCCAAATCGAATCCATGTGCTTCTAATTCGCCCATTTCGAAGGAGCCCTCGTTACGTATAATCTCCTTCATTTCCCCTTCGTCCGGATCGTAAAACGGCATGTTGAATGAATCCATCTCTTCTTCTCTCACAATTCCCTGCATCACATTCATCATATATTCATATCAACGCCTTTCCAATTGAATTAGAACAGTTTACTAATTGTTAGTCTTAAAAGTAGAGAGGGGGGCGTCTAGGGCTTCGGTTCGGTACTCGTCGGATTTGGTTCCTAAACGGTTTATTCAGTTTTATAAAAATTGAACCAACCGAATGTTAATCGGGTTGGTTTGATTCGGTTTTAGTATCAGTTTGATTCAGAATGGTTTTGTTATACGAGTACCATATAAGGAACGGAACTTGATATTAACACATAAATTTATACATAAGGTTGATGATTCGAATTTCCGTTCAATATTTATCGGGTTTTGTTTGGGAGAGACTATTTTGGATCTAAAAGAAGTAAAGCAAATTAATTAGAACAAAATGTTATTCGGTTCGGTTCAGTTTGTATATTCGTAAAATTAGTTTTAGTACCTCTCGGACTAAATCGAGAAGAGATTTGGATAGCAGAGTCCAGAAGTGGCAGCAGTCTCTGTACAAAGGATCACGACGAGCCTTTCTACCGATTAACGTAAGAACCATACGTCCATTAGATGCCATCTCTTTGGATCGTAACCTTAGAAACAACGTGAAATCCTTCCTGAACTGATTTATGTAAGCTTCGTATACAGTTTTAGGGCTAGAACTCGTTATGAACACACTCCCCTTGTTGTCCTTTATCCCTCGCGGAACCTGAAGTATTAAAACGAACAGTTTTAGGGTTTATACATGTGATCTTTTTGTCAATATTGGGCACCATTGGAATTCAATAAAAAGTTGAAAGATACCGAACCTAACCTCGGAAAGAAAATGAATACTGTAAGAGGAATGCACGAAATGAAGACTCTTGCTTGGAAAGAGCCTGGAATAGAAGGAGCCTGGCACTCCCGAAACAAAGCACGACGACCCTTTGCTCGCTTTTCGGAAGAAACTTGCAAACTTGAACGTCGTGTTGAAGTCGTTCTCGGGGAGATCGTTCAGACAAAACTCGATTTCCGGTGGGTCTCGACCCTTCTCCAGGCACAACGCATTGACGGTGTTTACGATTTCGGACATGCCCAAGAACGTGTTTTGCCCTGAGGAGCAACCCAAGTCGGCCGCTTTGATGCACGGCGGAAAATCTAATCCGATTAGCATTTCTTTCGTGTTCTTCACCCGCACTTGTCTCGATTTCTCTATAACTTTTCTCTGGATGAAAACAAAGAAATTGCTTGGTAAGAATTTCTATAGAATGGAATTGTAGCACAAGAAGAGAGAGAAAAAAAAGAGAACTACATAACGATTATAGGTATATTATAGCAATAAATAACGTACCGTCACATATAAATTATGAATCATATAGATAACGGTCATTTCAATGTGTACCTGAAGAAGAGAGTTGCAAGCATAGCTGTTTTCTCCATCTCCACCGGTCATACTAAGGGCACTGATGAAAGGGTAGATATTATTATTAGCCCTCCTTCCATTCCCGTATTTATTATCCTCCTTTCCACCTCTGCATGAAAACATGTGCATGTATGTTCATAGTACATTACATGCAATGGAACAATAACGTTAGGGAGAAATTAAAGTTAGATTGCGGGAGACGTGGATAGAGCATATGTGTTTTTAGAAGCTGTCCATGGACATAACATAACATAACATACATACATACATACATTAATACATACATATATACATGTAAAAGGTGTATATATAGGACAAGATGGAACCTTTGGGAAGGAACGAAGAGGGGAACATTCGAATCTGTCTCTCGCATTATATATTGTATGAAAAGTCCAGAGGATGTCGTTTACACCTATTGAGTGCATTTGTGAATGTATTCTCTCCCATATTTATAGATGATATGTATCGACCCTTTAAATGGAACATATGTATTGTGTTTTTTTTAAATCACAAAAGGTGAAGCGTGAAACACGAGGACACTTTGGAAATTCGAAGGAAAAAAAAAATAATACAAAACTACAAAGGCGTGAAACTGACAAGTGTAGACTCCAAATTGATAACGTTTTTCCTTGTCGACGGGAAATCATATTCAATTTATAGATTATTTCAGAAGATATTTTAATTTATGAATCAATATCAATACATTTATTTAGATTTTGTAAATACTGTTTCATCATCGTAAAAGCGTAAAAATATAAAAATTAAATTCGTGGAAGAAGTCATCCATAACGTTATATGACCGTTATTGGCGCTGAAATTGCTCTACAGATCAATAGAAATTTTGTTAGTATATTGTGTCTTCGCTCGCACATTTTTTCAGCGAACACGTTTGATTTTGGAGTTCTTTCATAATAAATAACCGAAAAGATATATAATTTTGTTGGTATGAATAACTCAATCAATTTCTATAAATTATATTTGATTGTATAGTTCTATATTTATACGGTCTTGTCTTGTGTATTCGATTCATCCTTATCGATTTTATTTAAAAGTTTCCTAGAAAGTGTTTCTTTTGTATATCGTGTTTCGCAGCGGTGATTATTCTCTGTCCTCATCGATACTCGGGAATTCAATTATTAAATGTGAAGTGATATATCATATGTGTCTGTTATTAATTCCGCGCACCAAAAAGGCATGGGTTTGTGTAATGGAGGAGACTCGTGGTCCGAACAAGTGGCAGACAGTGTTTACACATAAGTTCAACGTTTCGGAGGAATCGAATTAACTAGAGATGTTTTGAGTGCTCGTGTGTGAACATATAAAATAATAAATATTAAGCTTCCTAATAAAAAAATATTAGGGATAATCGATTAAAAAATTACGATTTTTTTAACAACATATATAAAATTATTGTTTTTTTTATCTTTTATATAAAATTATAAATTTTACTATATTCCTGCAAAATTTATAAATTAATGATTTTATATAGAAATTCATAATATTATTGAATGTATAGAAATATATTAAGAATAATAAAAATTGTGAAATTTTATATAAATTTTGTAAAATCAATTATTTTATATGAATTCTTTTTGCAATTCTTTTTTATGTCGGTTGTCCTAAAATATAAAGAGGCTTATCGTAGTCGCATTTGGCACATAAACCCAGAACAGTATAATATTGTATTTAAAAAATTTTAAAATTAGTTTTTAATAACAATACGATGATTTGACCACGTCCATCTCCACATACGTGTTCTTATCGTGTGTGTGTGTGTGTGTGTGTGTGAGAGAGAGAGAGAGAGAGAGAGAGAGAGAGAGAGAGAGAGAGAGAGAGGTTGTAATCTTTCTTCCAAACTTTATAAGTGCGTTATACTAAAAATATATATATATTTCTTTTGGAAAGAAAATGAATATTTTATAAATTTAATATGAATCAAAAAGTCGAGCAGAAATCATATGATTAAAGAGTATACTCTGTATATATCATAAATAAAAGAAATATGTTCTAAACTTAACATAAGACATGGAAAATCGAAAAGTTGAAAACGGAAAATCAAATGATTGGTCTGAAATTGTCAAGGTTCAAATAATTTTTAAATTCTTTGGATTCTACTATTGAATTTATGGGAAAATAATATGTGATAGAAATAAAATTAGATTTTGAGATATGATTAAAAATAATAATAGATACAATATTATTATGTCAAATATTATGTATCTGATTTATTTCTATTATATCTATATTTTTTTTAATTTTTTGTTAATTTTTCTATAAATATTTGAGTTATTTTTATTATAATGTAACAACAAGAAGAAGAGATATATCAATAATAGTAATTCTATTTTTTTTTCTTTTCATTCTTGTATAATAATATCCCTTCACTATATAAAATTTTTTGTATACATAATCTTGATTTCAAAATTGTGAAAAAGGTTATGCTAATGAAGTCAATGATTCTTCGGTGGAGAAGAAAACATCTCGATAAATAAAGAGATACTGAGAAAGCATAATGATAATTAATAAAAAAAGTTAAAAATAAGAAAAGAGAATGACAAAAAAGAGAAAATATTCTGATTTTCTAGATAAAAATTCGATCAAGATATTTTTTTATCGATCTAAATAAGGATAAGAGTTTCTAAATTCTGACGGATGTTTTGTCGAAACTGTTTTCTATAGACCCAAATAGTACGGTTTCGATCGCTGAAATATCGGAGGATAGCTTCTCCAGTTAAGATACAATTCGTTGTAATTATTTTTTACCCTTACATATTTGGTTTCAGTGTTTCTATAATCTCATTGCGTTGTTATAATCTCATTGCGTTGTTGTGTGAATGTTAGAACCTAATTGAAGTAAAGTTTTGGGTGAAATATGGTTTCATGGTTTTTACTTTTCATATTGAGGGGGTTTCCACGTTAAAAAATAGGTCTTGTTTAATTTTATTAATTGTGTTATTATTGCACTAGATATTGTCATCCTCGTATATTTATACAAATAACGGGTTTTTATTTCTGATTCGTGGCATACGATATAAATAACATAAAATTCTTAACATGTGATACCAGAACACTTTGATTGTTCGATGTACTTTTTATAAACGATGGAGACAAATACTAGTCAAATGGGGAGCTTGAACGGTATCAACTATTACATATGGAAGGGTAAGATGAATGATCTACTTCATGAAGTGATGTCAATGTGGATTAATCAACCCATTTAAACTCATCCCAATTGGGTTAATTTAATTAATAAGTTGGGTTGGATTAGCCATACAATAATAATTTAATGGATTGGGTTTGTGACACCTATAACTCGTATTTCGCATACAGGTTGTGATACATGGATAAATAAAATCACAACAGTAAAATTTCGAAAGAAAAATTACATGAATTTTAAAAAATATTCGTCAGAGTATAATACAACGGAAGATATTATCAAATACATAAGTACATTTTACATACATATATAAAAATATCAGTATGTAATACAAGTGGTGATAAATTATAATACAAAGGTTCAAAGTTCACCGCTCTTTATTTTCTGAAAACGAAATCAAAGGTAATTGTATATGATCAGACGATGAGCTATCATTGGGCCCCGCGTCTGTCTCGGCCACTACTGCTGCTTTCGACCTGAAACGTAACAACGTCCTAAGCTACATGTTTAGAGAGGAATTTAGATGTACCCCGAGATTTTTATTTTTATTGAAAACGACCAAACAATATAGTCATTACTATATGTATACATGCGACGAGGTATATCAATCAAATCAATCAAAGTTGAGTCAAACAACAATCTCAAACATAATCCGTCAATCGTCTCTATGTGTATCTTACACGTAGATAAATCTAACATCTCATTCATGCCTGTGGCAAAAACGAGGCGCAACACTCCAAGCAAATATTATGCGAGGATCTTAAGTGGTTATCATACTTCTCATCAGTAACCGATATCACGAATCTCAGTACGAATATATCCCTATACCCACTCCATACATCAAACCCCGATACCATCGACTGTCGAGCAAAATAGCTCTATGCTAACTACTCCTCCTTACCGACCATTCGCATCAGAAAATACTCATCGAACTCGATCTCACGTCTTTTAATGTATGTCCGTACCACCTCGCCGAAAGACACACGTAACTTTCCGAGTCTCAGGTTTATTTGCCAATCAATGGGTGATTCACATAAATCTGTAATCCGTTCTATGGCCAATGGAACGTTGGCGCAGTTGCCAAAGAACCGTACTGCTTTGTCACGTATTCGGGTGACACACAAACCCAAATATGTGAATCACTGGATGTCATAAGATCGCATAATCACAACCACGTCACCATGGTATGATAAACGACTCAAATCTATTATCGTACAATACGGAGATTTATAGTCAAGACAATCATCGTGATATCATTCAAAACCCGTCTACAATCATACACTGAATAATATCCGAACTCATCTGAATTATGTCAATGTTATGCCATCTACCCTGACAAAATTCTTCTATCACAAATAGTCATGCATTATTACTTATCGTACACACGGTCAAACATAAATAATTTCTTTTAAGTTTGTTCATACTTATTTTATCTTATTTCAATAATTTATTATCTTTTAAATCATCGGTTCGATTAAACTAGATTTCTTCCCATTCATATTACCATTTCGGCTCATCCTAAGATTGATACTTACCCGGTCGAACATATGTATGGTCTGATTCGAACTGAATTTAGTCAAATTTTGGTTAAGTTTTGGGTTGGGTTGGAGTTGGTCGGTCCAGTTGTTAGACGTGGTCGGTCTAGCTTTTTTTTTTGGACGGTTTGGTCTTAAGTTGGACCGAACTGTTGGTTGTAATGCTCTAGGATGATCCTTGATATGACATTTTGACTATGTATTGATTCATTGGTTTATGAATGCATTATTTTTTCCGTTATATGATTGGCATGTTTGTTATATTTCAGTATCCTTGAATCGTCTGCAAGATGATTCTAAACTCCCTGGTCAGTTGTCATTATGGGAACAATGATGAATTAAGATCAGTATGAGGTGTGATTGATGCATTGGATGCATATCATAATCATGGGTTCTCGGTGGTAGGTTAGGAGGTGAAGTCTCCACATTTAGGTGGAGCTTCCTCGGATAGGATGCTCGGGAGATGGTGTGAGCTGGGAAGTGTCGGGTTTCACCGGGTAGAGTCGGTGTAGGTTGGCGCTAGGACACTCCCTCTCGAGGTGGAGCACGTGCACTCACGTGTCTCATTCTCGGTGGAACATCGTAGATGACTAGGATCGTCTTCACGCGACAAAACTGTGGGACAATTCTAGTTGGCAGGTTAGGGTGCGAGGGTAGAATCCGCATACTCAAAGGTAGTGTAGACTCTACGGGGATCCTGGACTAGGTATCTAGCGGGTTCGGTAGTATGACTCAGGTTAGTCTCAGGGGAAGTCGGGATAGACTTAGGAGATGAGTAGACGTTGGGTATAATCCTCGGGTTGCTAGCAGGTGAAGTCTCGGACTTTACCAGTGAGGGTTAGTTAGACGGTCTAGGGAGTCATACAACCGAGGGTAGCATTTGTCGGTCGGGCGACGTGGGTTAGGACTTCGGTTCGAGTCCTATCGGGGTGAACGTTCTAACACGAAGTGTTTCAGGTATAGATGAGCAGGATCGGTGGCGGTATAAGGCGAAGAGGTCTTGAGGAGTCATCGACGGGAGCTTCATCAGATTCATGGCGACATGTGACTAACTCCGGTGCATCAGGTAAGTGAGGTAAGTCTGGTAAGTTGTGTTTTAAATTCCGACGAAAGTTGATCGGTGCTGAAAACGACGATATCCACTATGCTTATTTTTATATTCCTCTTTCTCCACCAAGGTGGAGATTGTTGGGTTTAGGGCTTAAGACCCATAATGTTTTATGATGAAGAAATATAATCTTCTGTTTGAGAAAGAGGGTTTTCGGCTTTGTCGAAACTGTGCGTATAGGCTTTAGGTTATTCAACCTAAGGAGCGTCTTCTTCACTCCTCGACGAGAGAAGCGGCTGAAACAAGAGAGAGAGAAAGGAGAGAGAGAAAGGGCGATTCTGGTGACGATTCCGGTGAAAATCGAAGACGGTCAGGTTTGCTATCTCTCGGGTTCTTCCTTTCGGTTCTTTTCTTCTTGTTTGCTATGTATAAACACATAGAGAGGTGAGACTCCGGGTTTGTGGAGATCCACCAGATTTCTTTCGTTTTCTTCTCCGATCCGTCGCATAGTGGATTCGTCGCACCGTCCGGCCGAGATGTAGGCCCGAGATTTATCTCGGTAACCGAACTCGTTAAAATCCGCTGTGTCTTCTTCTTTATCGCACGAACGAGTGACGGAGAGATCAGAGAGGGTTCGATACCACCTTCACAATATCAATACATAAATCAATTGAAAAATAAATTTCAATTTGACATTTTTTACCAAATAAATACAAAACGTGAAATAATCGTTAATTTTGGCTGACGTAACATTTATATCTACTCGTTCATCGCTTTGACACCATCACGTCAACGGCTTATATCAACAATTTTTTTTAATTACATATCACCAATTTTATATATATATATTTATATATATATATATATATATTTATTTATTTACATGTGTATATATATGTGTGCCTGCGTGTTATTGGTGATGTGTTAATTTTTTAAAAATAATTATGACGTGGTGTACATCTGTCGCTGATGTGGCGTGACAAAACGATGACTATCAAAATATAAATACTATGTCAATTTCACTATGTTTCTTTTCGTATATTTATTTGGCAGAATTGTGAAATCGGAGTATTTATTTATCAAATCGAAAAATTATATATTTTATGGAATTCTCAAAAAAAAAATATTTTTATTTTATTTTTTGGATTATAAAAAAGAGAAAAATGTGGATGGATTTAAGAATTCACGCGGCCCATAAAGTGAAAAAAAAATCCCAACTTGGGCTTATGTCTAAAACAAATATAGGCCCATCCACATGCCACTCTCCTGCCCCCAAAACATGGATATTAATTTATTAATCTGTATAACTGTACTATAGCTTCATTTTTTGAGATCATAAATCCTATTTTGGGTTATATAAAAATTTGTTTGATGATATACAATCTACCTTTGGATCAACACTAAAGTTTCTAAATAAAATTCTGAAATTCTTAATTAAAAAGGTTTGTAAGGCTGCATTATTTGTATTAATATACACACAACATAGTCCATCAAATTCAATTGAATCAATTTTTTTTTTTTAAAAGGTGTCGGTTTTAAGAACAAAACATATAAGTAAAACGAGAAATATAACACAAGATGGGTTGAAACTTAGGTGAGAGAACAGTTTACACTTTCACCTCACTGTTTTGCCACCCACATTCACGCATGCATTCCTGATGGAAAGGGTAATATATAATGCCGGAAGTTATATAAGACCACATGTACCTATCAACTTTGGCTCTTTCATATTCCAAATTTGCCCTAAATGGGTTTAACCTAATAACAATAGTTAAATGGGTTGTGTCAACCCATAAAACCCATTTCACCCCATTTAATCATTTTAATATTCTACATCATTTCTAACAAGAATAAAAAAATATTCAATTAGATTATCATTTTATTTTATTTTAGGTTTTAAAAGAATTTTTTCTAATTTTAAAATACTAAAAAGATATTTTTATATACGTAATTTAATATCCTAAAATTATAATTTTTTTACGTATGAAGAAAATTATCCAAAAATTATATTAAATTATGTTAATATCAATACCCACAAAATAAAATAAATAATATAAGTAAATAAAAGAATTCACGTTAATTTCATTTCAATTCGAATCAATTCAATCGATTCTTCGAATCGATCCGTTTTGATTCATTTCGAGTCGAATTCGTTCGATTCGCATCGAACGGATCGTTTTGATTCGTTTCGAGTCGAATTCAATTAAGACAAAATCAATCTGTTTGATTTGTTTTGAGTCGAATTCGAGTCGAATCGAATTCGATTTGAATCGATATGTTTTGATTCGTTTCGAGTCGAGTTCGATTCGACTTGATTCGAATCGAATTGATCATTTTGATTCGTTTCGAATCGAATTTAATTAAGATCAAATAAATCCGTTTTGATTCATTTCGAGTCGAATTCAATTCGGATCAAATCGATCCGTTTTGAGACGAATTTAATTCGGAACGAATCAATCCGTTTTGAGCCAAATTCGATTCGAATCAATTTGTTTCGATCCGAATCAAATCGATCCATTTTTCGGCTCAAATTGATCTTAAAATTCGATTCGTTTGGGTTCGAATTCGATTTTTATTATAAAATTCTCATTTATAAAAAAATATTCAAATTTTAATTATTTTTTATATTGAGTTTTAATTCGATTTTTATTTTAAAGAAATTATGTGCATTCGATTTTATATCTAATTTGAGCATATCTTATTTGATTCGAATTAATTTATTTTTTATTTTGAAATATAAATATATTGACTTTATTTATAAATATATTTTTAATATTTTATTAATCAAAACTACTATCAATAACTAAAGAATATAATGTTTAATGAGCTATTTGGGTTTTAACCCATTAAACCTATGAAACAATTATAACTCAAAATAATAACCCAAATATAATAATTCGGTTGTGCCAACTCAATTTGACATCTATAACCGCAATGAAACAAAAAGGGACGAGTGTGTCATAATTTGAGCCACGACGAGAGACAAATATTCTACTTCAAGTGTGTATCATTTACTCGAAAGAGAGAGAGAGATTTTGGTGTATGTTTTCAAACTTGTTAACTAAAACTGTACACAGAGCATGGGTTTAGCACGGAACGAATCCAATTCCACTCTCACTTTCTCTCCTCATTGACAGCTGAGGCCTGGCTATGGAGAATCACTGCCACAGATTCCCGGCGGCGAAACATCAACTGTTTCGCTATGAATTCTTCGATCGTCTTCTGAAATTCCTCGTTGCTGAGTTTATCCTCCGGGTAAATCCCGTCGTCCCCCTCAACTTCCTCTATTCTCCGGCACTTCTCCGTCTCCGATCGCCGGAGGGAACCTTTGGCCACCTTCTCCGTACTCTGCTTCACCGGAATGTCTGATTTGCTTCTCCGGTAGATCTTCCGATGATCCGACGCCAGATCGTCGGTATCGCTCGACGCGCGGTCTTCACGCGCGTGAGATTTTGAATTTGAATGCGAGTTCGTCTCGATCTCGGTCGCGATCGCCTGTTTATCATCGTACACGATCTCATCTCCGGTCTGATTCTCGTGCGACGGCCCGGCGCAGTGCTCGCCGGATCTGACGAACGCCTCGTAAAAATCGGCGGATGACGGATCGGAGGACTTGGCGAGAAGAGCAATGACGATGGAGTTCCCCAGGAGGAACATGAACAGAGGACTTAAAACGACGCAAGCGAGACTGCGGATAAACTCTCCGGAGATTTGGACGGCTCCGGCGAAGGGAAGGCGAGTGAATGTCCATGAGAGAAAGAACAGAGCGACGGAGACTTCCGCCGCACGGAAGAAGCGGCCGAAACTGCGGTAACGCCATAACGCCTTGGCTTTCTCTGCTTTCACGTAGTCGAAATCAGTCGAATCCATTTCTGGAATCACATAAGAGACTCTTCGACGATTTTCCCAGGAAGCTCGAAGAGAGAAATTCTTGGAAATGGGATGGAAGAGGGAAAGAGAGAATACGAGACTCTGCCTCCCTGCCCAAATTTCTCTCTTTTTATAGACTTTGTCGACAGCATTCGCCCTTCCTTTTCCCTTTCAAATAATAATTGATATATTTTTTTTTTCCACGCATTTGGACGTGCATATACCATTTCTCTATATTATTTAATCATTAATTACAAACATCTAATCATATAAATTCTGTTTGTTTTCTTATTTTCCACTAGAATTTTTTTTTAAGTCAACCAGAATGATTAATAACGATTCGTGTTGGTAATTCTTTTGACTCGCCACAACAAATTATGTTGTTTAAAATAAAATAGAATAAACAGCTACTGATTATTCAACAAAAACTCTTATTCCATCATAAAGTTTTATAAAAAATATTATATAAATATAAATTCGCCGCATGGCATGGTTCAACTACTACGTACGTATGTAATTATTTAAGAAATTGAGAAAAAGAAATGGAGAGGGCAAATGAAGAGTGAACTAGTTTCGTATTTGGCAAGTCTTATCTATTCACCGATTCATTAAAATCAAAATTTAAATTTAAAAAATAAAAATAAAAGCATGTCTACTCTCTAATATATATTTTTTATCACTCAGATTTATAAATTTTAAACTTTATTATGAAAATGTAATTTGTCAGACACGCAATTGTTTGTGCCTCAATTTATTCACACCTTACAATTTCTTTCTTTTAGAAATTCTCTTATTCGTATATTTTTTTCACAATATGATGCATCTTATTTGAAGAGGAAAAGGCCGTGGGACAGAAAACATTATTATAAATTTATAATATGTGTTTTTTGTGTGTATATACACGGAAAAAGTATAAAAAGCTTTAAATTCCCCCATGTATATACTATGATTTGTATGTGTCCACGTATGAATGCGCTCATAGATATGTACTTTATACGATATGCATATCATCTTTTTATATTTAGAATTCCATCCATCTTCATTCTTATTACTATTATAATAATATATAATTTAATCTTATAAAAAATATATTTTAAATATATTATTTCCAGGGAAAAAGCATATAAATAGAGAGGGGTCCTGATTCAAACTTTGACCGGTGGCAGCAGGCTACGTGGAATAGACAGTTTGTAGCCTTAGAGCAGGGCACATGAAACAAAACGACACCGTATTAACCGAACCTCCCCCACCCAGAAAAGGGGTGCGCACGGGTAGAGTACCCGTACCGGTACCCGTACCCATATATTTCAGGTAATGGACTTTATTACCCGGTTTTGATTTTATATAAACCAGGTATCTGTGATTTATGTTGATAAAATATCCGCAAGTACCCGGAATATATAGATGCATTTTTTGTTTGATGGATCATTCCCAATGCTAACCCTTCTTATGCATTTTCATCCATATTGAATATCTAACAGAAAAACAAATAGTTTAAAATTTTTATGAATTAAAATATAAAATAATAAACATACACGAAGAAGACCAAGAAGAACACGTAATAAAACTAAAAAAAATGGTTTATTTTAATTTGAAATCCTAACTAAAAGCACCTTCGATCATAGAAGAAATGACAAGACAGAGAAAAAATCCCAACTAAAAATCATCAAATCAAAACCTTAACTTCAAAACCCTAACCAAAAACGAAAATTATAGAGAAACGGAATTACAGAGAGTGAAATCATTATGTAGAAATGGAGATTGAATCTGGATAAAATGAAACCTTCAAGCAAAAGGGAGTGGAGAGAAAACGCTTAGGAGATTCATTGGAGGAAACCAGAGAGAGAAATTTTAGCGACTTTCACAAATTTTGTTTGGTAAAGGTAGAGTGATAAACACCTTTATTTTAACCTACTGGTATAAATGCAATTTAATATAAATATAAGGATAAAATAGTAATTTCGAATAGTACAAGGTATCCGAGGATACCCGTTAATAGGGGTGTCAAAAAAGCTCGAGGCCGGATATCCGGTCCGAATCCGTCCATAAAATTTACAAGCTCGGGCTTCACAAATCAAGGCCCGTTCGTTCTTCGGACCGGGCTGGCCCGACCTGGAAAATTACGGGCCAAAAGCGGGTTCGGGTCGGGCCGGCCCGATCTGGCCCGTAGACCCGATTAAAATATAAATTATATATATAAATATATGTGTATATAGGTAAATATATGTATATTATATATATATATATATATATATATTTGCACATATTTAATCATATATATATGATTTTTTGGGAGATATAATCGGACAAAAAGACGTTGAACGTGCGAATTATAAAAAAAAAATCACATGGAAATAATTATGAACAGATCAACCATGAATACCAAATAAAATTATATATCATTTTAAGAATGAAATTCTCTAAACAATTTGGCATCCATTGGAGAAGCAGCATGTTATTGTCCAAATGAAAAAGTAAAAGTGTTGAGATTAAAAGAAGAGAAAATTCTTGTAGAGTAAACCATGTCCTTAGAAAACTGGAATCTTAAGATTTTTTTTTTGGTCCGATATATTCGATTCATTATATTAATTAGTAACACTAAAGTAATGCAAGGAAAGGTGATGGTGACCATCAAACATATAAAATATTAATATACACATATGTGTATAATTATATATAGCTTTGATTTTATGTCGTTTAGGATATAATATTAGTCCCTTTCATATTATTTTGAATATAATATATATATATATATCTGGAAAAAAAATACTTGGAGTCTGTTAATTTTTTACAACAAAGTACATTATGTTTTGTGGCAAGCATACAAACTTTTGTTAGATCACTTTTGTACCTTCATAAAAGTTTATAGGCGAATAATCCATTTCCACATTAACTCGATATATAATAATTACTAAAAAGATAAGCAAGAATATATATATATATATATATATATATTTGATAACTAGGATAATTTTCCGATCTTTCGACCCGACTACATCCATCTTAGATCGAGATTTTCCCATTTATGTCCTGTCCACATTATTTTATCCCATTTGACAGTTACGCACGTGGAAAATTCATCGGCATATTCGTCAACCAACATACATGTAACATATATACATAAATATATAAAAATATGTATAGAAAATTCCATAATTAGGAACATTTGTTTGGAAAAGCCGAGGCGTTTTCTAATATTCTCGGGAATAACCGACGTGTGCACACGGCTTTGACACCTTTCATATATTGTTTCGGTCATATTCGGATCTTATTTTTGTGAACATTATTCTTGAGTCGATTTTTTTTTTATATAAAAAAAGTGCACAAAAAAGAGGGCACGAGGAGGAGGAATATCGGATTCCAAGGGGTCCGGTGGCTCCGTTCCTTTGTACCCATAACGAGCAGTTATGGATTCATTTTGGGCTTTTGCATTAGAGGTTTTGGGTCGAAGAAATTATGGCTCATTTGTCGCTTTTATTGCGTACAAAATGTGTATTTGTGCTAATAATAATAATAATAATTGCCTTTTACCAAAAAAATAAATAAATAATAATTTTATTGGCTTCTCATGAATAAACATGACTGTTGATTTTGTCTAAATCAAATTTGGCGTCTGATGGCAATTGTTGATTTTTACATGATAATTTCAATATATTTGAATTTTGAACCACTCAATATTATGATTTGAGATATTTTTCTTAAAAAATCTATTTCAGTTCAGTTTTAATTCCAATATTTATGTATTCAACTTTTTTTTTCTCTTTTTAAAAATTAATTTTTTGTCCAACTTTAATTTGAGTCAAATCTTATACCCGATTTTTCATTCAACTTTATCAATAAAAAGAATATTTATTGATTTAAATATAATTAGACTTTATTAGATTTGATTCTTTACAGTTAATTCAAATTATTAGTTCTAATTTTTATTATAAATTTTAAAATGAATAAAATAAAGATAATTGGCAAATGACTAGATGTATTTTTATTTCCTTTTGTGAGTTAAATGAAAATAAATATTTAGAGTAATTTAATTTTTTTACAGGTATAATTATTGGGGCATTTGAGTCTTTGACCATTTTTATCTATTTATGATTTTTATTAAATTGAAGGAAATATATCCAAACAATAGAACTTCTCTTCTCAGTTTTAACAAAATAAAACCTAAACTTTGTTTTTTATCAAATAAAACATCAACTTTATTTTTCAGTCAAAATAAACTCCAACTTTAAAATCTTTATCATTTTTAACTTTATTTCTAACATAACGTTCCGACATCCTACATAGCAAATCAATATTTTGACCGTATTTGACATATCATCATCCACATATCATGATATCGGAATGTCATGTCATCAATAGGGTTAAAAATGACAAAAATTTTAAAATTTGGGTTTATTTTTGACTGAAAAATTAAGTTAGGTTTTATTTAATAAAAAATAAAATTTAAATTTTATTTTGTGAAAACTGTAAAGTTTAGGTATTGTTTTGAGATTGTTTCAAAATTGAACATACACACCGTCAAAAAAGATAGGGAAAATGATATTTTTCTACATCAATTTAGTAAAATGTGACCTTTTTCTACACGAATTTTTTATTTGACAAAAACCTACACTATATTATCAGATGTCTCAAATCTATACACGAATTATCCAATTTTACTGCAATTTACTACACAATCCAAAACGGTGTTAAAATGTCCGTTAATTGATGACGTGGAAGGCCACGTGGTGGCTGACGTGGAAGACCATGTGGAAAATTTTGCCACGTCACCACGCCACGTCAGATTTTCAAATAAAAAATTAAAAAAATAAAAATTTAAAAAAATAAAAAATAAAAAATTTAAAAAAATTTAAAAAAATTCAAAAAATAAAAATCGAAAATAAAATAAAAAAATAAAAAATACATATATATACATATATATACATACAAACATATATAAATACATATACATATATACATATATATATATATAAACATATGCAATACATATATATATATATATATTGTATATATACATACATATATATATGTATGTATACATATAAAATATAAAAAAAAATACATGTACATACATATATCTATACGTGTATATACATATATATTCATATCTATATACAAATACAAATATAAATATATATACTCCTATGTATTAATATATCTATATATATATATACATACAAAATAAAAAAATATACACATATATATATATACATCTATACAAATATATATACATACATACAAATATATTTATATATACATAAATTTTTAATTTGATATACAAGTATATATTTATATATACATAAAAAAATAAAAAATACATATATATACATATATGTACATATAAATATATTTATATATACACAAATATATGTATGTATATATATGTATTTTTTTTATTTTGTATGTATATATATATATATATATATACATTGTATATATTTATATATATATACATGTATACATGTATACGTATTTATATATGTGTATGTGTGTATATATAAATATATTTGTATGTATGTATATGTATATATGTATTTTTTTTATGTAGTTAAATTTTTTAATTTTTTAATTTTTTTTTGAAAATCTGACGTGGCGTGCTGACGTGACAAAATTTTTCACGTGGCATTCCACGTCAGCCGCCACGTGGCCTTCCACGTCATCAATTAACGGACATTTTAACACCGTTTCGGATTGTGTAGTAAATTGCAGTAAAATTGGATAATTGGTGTATAGATTTGGAATATCTGAAAATATAGTATAGGTTTTTGTCAAATTAAAAATTCGTGTAGGAAAATGTTATATTTTATTTTTAAATGTCATTTTTCCAAAAAGATAAAACACAAGAGAACATCAGTTTAACATCAAAAGCTCAGAATAACGTGAATCTGACCGGTGACCAGAAAGACCAACAACTCTCTCTCTCTCTCTCCCTCTCTCTCCCCATCATCCATGGCACTGCAACTTTGGGAGACTCTGAAGGAAGCCATAACAGTCTACACAGGGCTTTCTCCGGCGGCGTTCTTCACCGTTCTTGCCCTCGCCTTCGCGATCTACCATTTCGTCTCTGGCTTCTTCGTCTCTCCCGAAGAACACCGGCCTCGGTCTTTGGATGCGCAGCCGCTGATGGATCCTCTTCCCCCGCCGGTTCAGCTCGGCGAGGTCTCCGAAGAGGAGCTTAAGCAGTACGACGGCTCCGACCCTAAGAAGCCCCTTCTCATGGCGATCAAGGGCCAGATCTACGATGTTTCACAGAGCAGGTACATGTTGATCCTTATTTCATCGCGAAAGTTTTTCGAAATTCGGATTATCACAAGTTCGATTCTGGATTGATAGAACTAAACGAACACTAGGTTTCTCGATTAATTAATAATAGTGAAATTTGTAGCTCGAATCGATAGCTCTGTAATTTCTCCGAAGAATTTCCGATCTTTTAGGATTTTGGTCGTTTGCTGGATGAAGTTCAAAATCACAATCGTTATCTTATCAACTTTCATTTCTGGTTATCTAATTCGACGAGAAACATCGCAGTTTTTTTTTTCCATGTCTTAGCTATTACTTAGTTTTATGGTTTGTATATGTATCCGATTTGGTTTGAGCCTTTCTGGGTATTTCATGGTTTTTCTTTCTGCTCCTGATTTGACAAATCTTATTTTAAATTTGTTTTTTTAATCTCCTCCTTTTTGTCATAATCTTTCGAGTTGCTTTCTGCTTCTCCATTGTTGATTTCTTCATCTTTTTAAGAAAGTGTGCCATCACGAGCATCATAAACGTGTATCACATAGGATTCTTCAATGATTCGACTACTACCATAACGTATGATAGTTTCGTTACTTTTTTTTTTTTTCAATTTGTCCCTCTTTCGGGTTTCTACGCATCACATAACCAAAAACGTTTGGGATATTAAGTTTTGATCGCCGTGATTCAATTGCTGTATCATTCCATTCGAGTTGTGCAATACCCTTTTCACACGTTCGTTGTATGTGTACAAGCAGAAAACAGTCATGATGCATGTTAGCACATACGCCATGCATGGCATTGATGTGAATCATCCTCAAGCTTTTTTACATGACTCTCAACCTTGCTGCTTCCATCCTTTTCTCTTCTGCAGAATGTTCTATGGACCAGGCGGGCCATACGCTCTTTTCGCGGGCAAAGATGCGAGCCGAGCTCTGGCGAAGATGTCGTTTGAGGAAAAGGACTTGACGGGGGATATCTCGGGTCTCGGTCCATTTGAGCTGGAGGCATTGCAAGATTGGGAGTACAAGTTCATGAGCAAATATGTGAAAGTTGGGAGTATCAAGAAGGAAGTTCCGGCGACAGAAGAAGGGTCGGAGCCCTCGGGAACTAACAGGGAAGCAGAAGACGGTCCTTCTAAAAACTCGGGAGAAGAAGCTGCAGCCGGAAACCCAGAAGAAACTTCTAGAAACGCGGGCGAGGAAGCTGCAAAGGCTGTGGCAAATGGTGATGCTGAGAACAAGGAATAATGTAGAGAGTTTTTATATGTTCTTAGGGTTTCTAAGTATAATCGGTTTACGAAGTTTGTCATATTCATCATGCCGTTATGAAACTGAATGAATAGACGTGTATGACGTGGGAAGGATTGAAAAGTATAAGTTATTAGCGTAAATCATTTGCGGCAAATGTCCTTGATATTTTTCTCAATCATATTTGCTAAAATTCCGCAAATTATATGGTTATTATATTTGCCATATAATGAAAAAAATAGTTATTTTATTTGCTAAAATAGCACTTGAAATATAAAAATATGAGCCACTGCTCCATGAAAAATAGAACAGATTGTATTCAGAGATTTCACAGTTCAATTACCATATCGAAAACATAAATTTAGTATTGTGATAATTTTATTTATTTTCTTTTTCCTTTTTCTCCTCTTTTTTATCATCTTTCTTCTCTTCCTTTTTCTCTTCCTTCTTTTCTTCCTTTGCGGGTCCCACGAAAATCAAATCAACTTTGCCGACTTTCTTCAGCTTTTTCACCACCGCGACTGCGTCCATCTGACCTGTCACCGTTAGTTTCTGGTCCTTCATATCCGCAGCGATTGAATCAACTCCTGTTTCCCATTATATATATATATATACACACACACACATTGTTCATTAGAATATTAACTAATTATATAAAAAAAATTCCACCCCTATATACAAAATATTTATGGGCATTTTTAGGAGCATTAATGCATATACAAATTAAATAAATGTCCAACAAAACACAATGTGTCAAATCCACGGACAACTAAATCCTCTATGCTATAACCGAAAATAAGGTTTGGAAAAATGTATTCACGGTATCGCTTTCGTTCCTTTCCTTCGTTGATACGTAATGAGCAAAATAAGTATTTAAACTATAATATTCTTTCGGAGAAGGTTAGATATTTAATCTGCCAAATATTCCATGTTTTTTTTTTATCGATATATTTTATTAATATTTTAAAATATTATAATTTTATTTATATATTAGATAAAAATAGTTATTTAAAGATTATTGATTACTAATATGTGAAAAGTATAAACAACATTATGAGGACACGGATAAAGATATTATATATATATCTACAAAATATCTGTATCCTCATACTCTGACCAATCTTGAATGTTGGAAAATTTTGGATTCACACTTTTCAGAAATAATAGTATCAATACATCACATGGGATCTAAATCTTGGAAACCTCTTTTTTTTTTTATTAATTGATCCACAAAAATCAAATCGTAAATTAACCATATTAGACGAACCAAAGGAAAAATATAATTCCAGGCTTCTGATTATAATTTTTAATCCTAATATATATAATTACCCGATGAGATCGTAATATAATTGAAAAATAAGAAAAAGAAATTACTGATCACCGTAAATATCGGCAGCAGCTTCAATGGCTTTCTGTTTGGTCTTGTCATCCGTCATGGTTAAGACCTTCAACACCACTTTCTGAAAAACCACACACATATATTTTATATATATATACGTAAGTAAATAAGTAAAAGAAATTACTACAAAAATTAAATTACCTGAGCCATTTCTTCGAAGAATCTTTCAAGAAGAAGACGTTGGGATCAAAACTAGAGAGAGAGAGAGAGAGAGAGAGATTTAGAGAGAGATTTTTTGGGGGGTTGAAGGGAGAGAAGAGAAAATGGTGGGTTTTGAAAAATTTGTGGTGGCTTATTGGAAAGGACGAGACAACGTGACGTATGTCATGTATAATGGACTCCCATTAGGCATTTTTGCGCTCTCTTTCTAACTTGTTCTATTTGTCACTTTATATTACGGTATCATATAGTACCAGAAAATATTATACAACTCTGGTTAGGCATATCTGCGTTCTCCTTCAAACATATATTTTTTTTAATATATATATGGTTTTAGATATTTGAATCTGAACTTCAATCTTATATTTCCATTTCTAGAATTCTCAAAAAGTATTTGGCGAGTATATGAATCCGATTTTTGAAAAAATTAATATTAATTTATAACTTTTACAAATAATAAAAATAATTTTAATTTGAAAAATATTAAAGGTGCTTTTAAAATTTGTAATAAATAATTTAAACTTATAAGAGTAATACAAAGAATTTTATAGTTTTAATTTTATAAATTTTTAATAAATCTAAAATTTATTTTTATAATTATGTCGAATAATTAGAGATATAATGTAAAATATTTTTAGACAATAAATTTCTCTTCCCTCGAAATTCTCCCTAATATCAATTATCTCAAAAAAGGGATGAAATTAATGTCCCGAATATTATTGGAGTATCATGTTAATAAAGACGGAAGATATCTTTAGCATTTTCGAATTTTTTGGAGGTACAATGGCTAGAAGTTTATTTTTCTATAAAATGTATAATTTATTAACTTTTTTTTAAAAATTTTGTAAACAAATAAAACTCATATTGTATCATCCAAAAGATTATGTTTTACGTGGATAGAACAACAAATCCTTAAGACAAATAATATAGACAACAATTTAAACGAAACTAAGCCATTATAAATTAAACGAAACAGTCTAAAAAATATATTAGGTTGCAATAATCTGGAGTCTTATAAAAAAACGAATAGAGTTGGTACCATGAAAGTGTATTAGAGATATACACACACACACATATATTTGTGTATATCTCTAATAAACCCATTAAAAAATTATTTCTAATTTTTCGAATGTAATATTGTACGTAAATGTTTTATTAAGTTCGTACAATTAAGAACAATGGCCCATTATCATAAGGGTGAACGTTTCGATACGGTTCCTTAGAAGCGAATCGAAAAGTGCGCTATTAATTTTTTCGAATTGGATCACGTTTAAAATTTTCAAATGATATTTGTTTTAGAAAACTGAATTTTTCGAAATCGAATCGAACCAAACCGAATTTTTAAAAAACTCGAAAACCTAAAAATTTCTTAGAAAGATTTATTTTTTTTTAACAAAAACTGAAACCGAGACGAATCGAAACCGAACCAAACGGAATATTAAATATTAACCGATTTGTATATATTTTTGTAAATCGAAAGAGAAGGAAAATTCTATTATAATTTATTTTAATAGACTGGAAAAGCTTTAATCGATTAGTTAATCTCTAAATCCTAAAATAAAAAAATCTTGAACAGAATTTGCAGGACTTTAATAGAACTTCAACAGACTTGTTGATCATAGAAAATTGTTGAACTATGTCAATCCTTGTAAATGTATATTATATAGTCCAAACTATATAGTACCATATATCATATATCAAATCTAAAATATTCGTATCTAATTCTTTAATACTCCCTCCGTTACTATATAATTATTGTATTTTTCATAACGAAATTAACATAAAGTTGGTAATTTGTTCTAACGTCTGAACCGGTTCAAAATGTACCATGAGGTGTAACATCTTAAACCATCCAAAACTTTCATTATCTCATTATAGAACAAAACCAACATTTAACGAAATATTTTTCCATACATTTTACAAAAACACAAATAAAATTTTAAAAATCGATTCACATAATAGTACAAGCATGAGGATTATCATCGCTAAAAAGCGAAGCAGCGACCTCGTCGCCGGCCACCGCAACGGAATAAACCGCCGGAGTGTGGAAGAAGGTGTGAACGCCGGCGGAGGATTCGCTCCGGTGAACGTCGGAGTAAAAGTGGTCGGTTACGTAAGAAGGGTATTTGTAGAAAGAGGCAAAATGTGAGTAACCGGGTCGGTACGGCCACGGTTCCGCAGCCTTACCGGCTCTCCGCACCGCCTT